TGAAGAGGTCCTACCTCAAGTGGAGGAGTTTAAGTATCTCAGGGTCTTGTTCACGAGTGAGGGTAGGAGGGATCGGGAGATCGACAGGCGGATTGGTTCAGCATCTGCAGTGATGTGGACGCTGAGCCGATCTGTCGTCGTGAAGAGGGAGCTAAGCCAGAAAGCCAGGCTCTCGATTTACCGGTCGATCTACGTCCCAATCCTCACCTATGGTCATGAGCTTTGGGTAATGACCGGAAGAACGAGATCGCGAGTACAAGCAGCCAAAATGAGTTTCCTCCGTAGGGTGGCCGGGCTCAGCCTTAGAGATAGGGTGAGGAGTTCCGACATTCGGGAGGGACTCGGAGTAGAACCGCTGCTCCTCCGGATCGAAAGGAGCCAGTTGAGGTGGTTTGGGTATCTGGTCAGTTTGCCTCCTGGACACCTCCCTGGGGAGGTGTTTCGGGCATGTCCTGATGGCAGGAGGTCCCCGGGTCGACCCAGGACACGTTGGAGAGGTTATATCTCCAATCTGGTCCAGGAATACCTTGGGGTCCTGCCAGAGGAGCTGGTGGAGAAGGTCGGGGAGAGGACGGTCTGGAGCTCCCTAATTGGGATGCTGCCCCCGCGACCCGGACTCGGATAAGCGGAGGAAGATGACGACGACGAAAAAAAACTTTGAACTTAACCCTCTCAGGCTCAAAATAAGTTTTGATGAAAGGACGAACAACAAAGTCCTTCAGGGGTACTTCTGAGTTAAAAAATGCTCATGAAATATGTTTGTGGAGTAACCAGGTAGGTAGGTTTTAACATTGCAAATCTGCAACGCCTGCCTCCAGAAGGTTAAGATCCTTGGTCTGGCGATCCCTGAACAATCGGTGCCAGAGCTTGGTCCTCATTGCCAGAAGTAAGTCAGTCTGGTTTCCAGTAAGAGTTGGACTTCACTAAGGCTGCTCTTTCTTCTCATAACTTTTATGGACAGGGTTTCTAGGTGCAGCAAAGGTGTTGATGGGATCAGTTTTAGTGATCTAAGGATCAGGTCTCTGATTTTTGCAGATGATGTGGTCCAGTCAACTTCATCAGATGTGTTTTCCATATCTGCGGCCATGGTCTTGAGCTGTAAAAGGGTCTTCTCTGGGTCAGGGATGAGGTGCTCCCTCAAACGGAGGAGTTTAAGTATCTCAGGGTTGTTTTACTGGTCAGTCGCAGTGAAGTGAGAGCTGAGCCGGAAGGCAAAGCTCTCAATTGACCGGTCGATCTACGTTCCAACCCTCACCTACAGTCACCAGCTTTGGGTAGTGACCGAAAGAATGACATCTTGGATACAAGCGTCTGAAATTAGTTTTCGCCGCAGGGTGTCTGGGCTCCCCTTTAGAGACAGGGTGAGAAGCTCAGTCATCTGGGAGGGGCTCGGAGACCCGCTGCTCCTCCACATCAAGAGGGGCCAGTAGAGGTGACTCGGACATGACACGGGACACGCTGGAGAGACTATGTCTCTCACCTGGCCAGGGAATGGCTTGGGATTCCCCTGGAACAGCTGGCCCAAGTGGCTGGCGAGAGGTAAGTTTTGGCCTCTCAGCTTAAGCTGCTGACCCCACGACCCGACCCCGGATAAGTGGAGATGGATGGATGGACAGAAGTAAAAGCTTCTGGTTTGACTCAAGATAACATTTTTTTTACACCGCTTCTCCTCCAGCTTCACTGGCTGCCAGTCAACTTCAGGGTTCATTTCAAGATCCTGGTTCTGGTCTATAGGGCCTTACATGGACAAGCACCATCTTACATTGGTGATCTTCTTAGTCCTTACACCCCCAGCAGGTCCCTGAGGTCCAGTGATCAAAGCCTACTGGTTGTGCAGCACCAGGCTAAAGACCAAAGGTGACAGATCATTTGCTGCTGTGGCCCCCAGACTCTGGAACTCTCTCCCCCTGAGCCTGAGATCAGTGGACTCAGTGGTCTCCTTCAAAAAGCAGCTGAAAACTCACTTGTTCAAACTGGCTTTTGTATGACCTTCTTCACCACTCTCTCTTTATTCTGCTCTCCCCACCTATTCCACCTTCCTCAGGATCCACTGATTCGCCTCTTTCCTATTCACTCTCACTTTCTTAACATTTTTTATCACAATTGTCTCTTTTTGCTCATTTTAAATATATTTTTAAACATTTTCTAAATGCTTTTTATATTTTTACATTTTTTGTTTTTGTGAAGCGCCTCATGATTTTTATCTTGAGAGGCGCTATAGAAATTATATTTTCTTCTTCTTCTTATGGGTGTTTTGATTCAAATCATTTATATTCTCAGATGGACTGGACAAACTTTTTGGTTCTGTCTTTTCAAAGATTTGTTTTGTTTCTGAAACTACAAACTGAGTTTGATGAAAAATAAAACCCGGACGGTTACAACTTTTCCTGACCTAACCTGCTCTATAAGAGGAGGACGGTACATTTTAATGCTTTCCTTACTTTACAGCGGTCTCTTCAGGCACCTCCACAGACAGTGTGAGAGTTCCCGATGTCAGCTCACACAGCTCAGGGCTTACACAGTGCAGACCCTCCATTACCTGAAACACACACATCCAGACACAGTGTCACCACTTCACTCATTCTAGAGATAAATCTACCAGACCTTTCACTCTGTGGATAAGGTCTCACTCTGTCTGCCTCCCACGGTACCACCAGAAGCCTCTGGCCCGGTTTGGGTTGCCAGGACTGTAGGGTGGGAGATGACGGTGTGGTGGTGGTGGTGGAAGGGACTGTGGTTGGTCGTTGTGGCTGTGTTGTGGCTACTGTGGTGGAAGTTACAGGTGTAGCTGGTTCAGGTGCAGACGGGGTAGTGGGGTCCCAGTCGGCAGGCGGCAGGTCCAGTAAGATCTGATCGCACCTCTCTCCTTCATATCCTTCGGTACACTCACACGAGTAGGACGGCTCGCCCTCCTCCCCACCATCGCTCCGGCTGCAGTTACCATGGAGACAAGGGCTGCTGGCACAGGGGTCTGTGAAAAACTGAGATAATGAAAGCAAACAGAAAACACACAACAACAGAGTTAGAGTCAGAGTGGAAAAGCATCATTATGACTATTTATCACTCCCGCCCTAAACTCTGAGCCTGATCGGATCATTCATGTAAGAAAATACAAAATATCAAGAAAAATTCTGCTTTAAAGGTCCTCCTGATAATATGCAAAGTTGTCCTTTTTATTCAAATATCCATCCGTCAATTTGTCACAAGTTCATTGGAGTCTGAAAGCAATCTAAAAGAAAAATCAGAATTCAGCCGTTAACATCTTTTCTGTTTTTAAGGCTAAAATAACAGCATTAAGACAAAATAATAGAGCTGAAGGAAAATGCATGAAACATCATTGGATAAAATAATTATTTAAATAATTATTTAATCTAAGTGTTATGTGAAAAACCCATCAGCAGTCTAGCATGAGAGGACATCTGAATGGGAGTCTAATGGTTTAATGGCTGTTTTGGGTCTGGTAGAAAGTCACTGCTATTTCCCTAAAGGCAGCTCCACCAAACACAAAATCACAACTCTTTATATGACATTTATTACTGAGAAAACCACAAAGATGGATGTTTTGACAATCCCAGGTAATGCTTAGAAACTCAATTCCCATGAATTTTAACAAAAAGAATATACGGATTATGAATAAAATAAAATATGCATAAGCCAGCAAAAAATCTATTTGAATCAACCTTTAATTTCAAGTCTATCAAGTTGACAAGTCTGGAATCATAATAGTGTTTGTATTTAATTGGCTTTGTGAAAATAACTGAGTGAATATTTGCTGCAAACTTGGAAAATGTAGACAAACCCTTTTGTGGAATATTGTTGCAAATTTGCGTCAAACTGAGGAGTATTGGGATTAGTACTTTCATCATAACATTACTATATTCAGTCCTATAAATATACTGCCCTCTAGTGGAGAATCAACAGCTGGCATTTTATTTTTTACTTGTCTACTACTGTTGTATTTTTGTATACTGTAATTGCACAAAATATATATATTTATGTATATCCATCCATCCATCCATCCATCCTGAACCCGCTTTGTCCACGTAGAGTTGCGGGGGGTGGGGGGTGTGGGGGGGGCTGGCTATCTCTAGTGGTCAATGGGCAAGTGGGCGAGGTGAGCAGAGGTGAGGCGAGGATCCAAACGCGGGGAGGAAGACAGGCAGACAGGTAGGACATTTATCATGAACTTTAATACGAAACACGCAGGACACTGAAGCAATGAACCGACACAAGACACAAAACAGAAGGGGGCTTAAATACAAGAGGGCCGGGAGCTAGAGTGATTGGGAAAACGAGAGGCAGGTGGAAGCTATTAACGAGACACAAGGCTGAACCAAACGGGGAGACAGGACAGGGTGTAGGACAATTTAGACAGACCAATCAACCTAACAGTCATGTTTTTGGACTGTGGGAGGAAGCCGGAGTACCCGGAGAGAACCCACGTATGCACAGGGAGAACATGCAAACTCCATGCAGAAAGATCCCAGGCTGGGAAGCGAACCCTTTGATATTAAGGTTTGGACAGCCAATCAGAGGCTGACAAGTTTGGAGATGTTTTTACCAAGAATCTCAGAAACACGCCTTCTTTGATGTTCTGACTGGGTTAATACTATGTGTCAGGGTTTAACTTAGCCGTACTTGTTATGTGTCGATGCAGGTGTGGAACCTTGTAGTCAAACATTGCAGGTTCCATTAGACACACACAATATAAATCCATTCAGTGTGCACAGATTACTGAAGCATTTTATTACACCATAATTATTATAAGTAGTAATAAACAAATGTTTATTTAATGATCAGCTAGATTATAAGTCATAGAAGTAGTTTATAATCATTCTTGAATTTAGCAATTAATTCGAGCCGGAGTTCTTCTTCTGGAGGCAGACAGATGGGACCTTGGGAAGAAAGTTATATATATATATATATATAGTTTCACTCTTCAGGCATCAGGGGTGACTGTGCATTTTATATAGTAACTAACACCATATTTTACTGTCACATGTTGCATATATGCAACACAACACAAACCTGTGTTTTGTTCCCAGGAAAGTTTTCCTGTCTTCCCACTGAACAGCTATAGGAAAATGCACCGACGGCCTCCTTCACACTGATTTCTCTCCTCAATAATTGATCATATCTGGATAAATAAAGCGTCCTAATGGGGCTAACGACGGTGTCAGAGGACAAAATCCAGCTTACAAAAATCTCAGCCTTTTTTCAGAGCTTACTGAGCACTTTCAGGCTTCAGAAGCTTTATAATCCTGTTGTCCACTTATTCCTGTTTGTTTATTCCCTTGTGGAAAATCGACTGAAACAGCCTCAGGTATCTGCAGACCCAGCTGTTGGATGCAGGCGTGTTTGGATAAAAGTTTAATAAAGCCAGAGCAAAGAGACAAAAGCCCAGAGAGGCTGAACAGAGACATGGTAATGACGCCTGTATCCAAAAGTCCCTGCTGTGTACAGATGTGACAGAAACAAAGAGTCATTAACTGTTCGCTCTCTCCACGGATGAGTCACGGCTCATTAGTGCTAATCTGTCGGTGGAGTTTTACTCCTCTCTCACTCCTCTCTCACAAACTTTCTGCGTTCTGTCGCTCAGCATCCTGACGCTCTCAGCGGGGTTGCTGTGATGACGCTCTTATCTCAGAACCAGGAGCTGAATCCATCAACCTTTAGACGAGGCCTTCTTGTCTGCCTCACAAGGAACGCTGAAGTCTGACTCGTGACCTTTATCTGGTGTCAGTCCTGATTTCTCACCACATCAAAAGATTCCAAGTGCAGGGCTGCGTGAAATGCATTCTGAAAAAAGACTCGGGCAAATAGAACAGCGATAAAAACATGAAAACTTTATCAAAGCTATTCAGGATTTAAATTATTTTACAGCAGGGCTTTTATGGAGCATAACAAACAACACACCCCTTAAAAACAGGAAATGATTAGTTGAGTGAAACAACCAACTTTTTCCCGTCTAAACTGCTATCATCTCTGCAGCAGAAAACCTGTTTTTTATCCACTCCAGGGAGCATCAGTGAGTCATCCTGTTGCTCACTCGTAACTCTGCATCCAAATGAATAAACGCTGTCTCCTAAAGATAAAAATTAATTCTCTTATGTCTAATTTTTACATTTATTGTTATTTCTGCATTATTCTACAATGCTCCTCCCCTTCTTCCATTTCAGTCGATTGACTCACTACAATGAAGGTACTATGGGACATCACGCCCTTGTGTGACCTGGCGGAAGAAACATCTAATGACTCCTGCAATAGCAAATGAGCGTGACGCTGTGTGGAGGCCCCGCCCTCCACTTATAAGTGACAGTGTCACCGCCATTCCTCAGTTCTTGCTCTCTTCCCGCTGAGAAACCGCCCACCTTGGTAACACTTTAGTTTAGGGAACACAAATTAACCATTAATTAGCTGGCAATTAATATGCATATTAGTGGACTACTAAGTCTGAACTAGTCATTATTAAGCACTTATTAACAGCTTATTACTAATGCCATCATTCTAATATTAACAGGCCATAAATTAAGAGTTTTATCAAAATAAGCCATTCATGATGGTTTGTTAACTGAAAGTAAAGGTTGGTTGCTGATTAACGCACATACTAAGTAGCTCAAATCAATATGTGGCTCATAAAGAAGTAATTCAAGGGTAACATATTCTTGCCTTTAAGTGGTTATTTAATACTCAACTACTAGTAATTAGGTATGAACAGAAGCTGACTGTAGAATGGGGAACATGTTCTTGCTTACAAGTGGTTAATCAATTGTTGTTTAGGCGCTATTAACATGTGAAGTTTGGTGTTTATTTACATAATACCAGAACATAATTTTTTGATTATTATTGCAGAATAACTATTCCCCCTGAATTACTTCTTTAAAAGCCACATATTGATTTGAGCTAATTAGTATGCACGTTAATCAGCAACAAACCGTTTACTTTCAGTTAACAAACCATTATGAATGGCTTATTTTGATAAAACTCTTCATTTATGGCCTGTTAATGTTAGAATTACAGCATTGGTAATAAGCACCTAATAATGTCTTAATAATGACTAATTCAGACTTAGTAGTCCAATAATATGCATATTAATTTGCAGCTAATTAATGGTTAATTTGTGTTCCCTAAACTAAAGCGTTATATAAGCACTATTACTTTTCTAAGCATTTCGATTTACAATGGCAAAGTAATTAGCAAAAAACACAACATTTGAATAATTAGCAATTAAATATGTGCATGATTAATTGATAAAATAAATGGCAGGTTACAAGGTACATATAAATACTATTTTTTTTGTTTTCTACACTTAGAATTTCCGTAAGAGAGTGAAACTGTATTTTATTTACTTATCAGAGGTCAAGACAAACTTTTGACTTCAATACAAACAGAAGATATAAAGAAATTTGTTGCATTTCTCGCCTAAGATGCTGATGAAGAAATGACTGAATTTGGTTGTGAACAGTAAAAATCATAAATTTGACAACTTCTCTCCAGAATGAAACCTTAATGTCACAGAAAGCATGAATATTGGTTGCAGATGTTAAAGGATTAAAAACTGTGATTTGAATGGAAGTCAATGGGAGGTTTTTGTCCACTAAGGTCATAAGAGGATGGTACCTTTTGAATCTGTTGCTACACAAAAACTATTGATGCAAAACATTTAAATAATTTGATATTTCATAACATAATAAAGACTGATTCATAATAAATGTCCCAAGAAGAAAAAACTTTTTTTAGGAACAATAACTAATTGTGTGTGTGTGTGTGTGTGTGTGTGTGTGTGTGCGTGCGTGCGTGCGTGCGTGTGTGTGTGTGTGTGTGTGTGTGTGTGTGTGTGTGTGTGTGTGTGGATTTTGTTTATAAATTACAGAAATTACTTTGAGTAATCAAACTGGCATTTTAAGGGTTAAAATCCTGAAAATGATGGAAGTTTTTAGCAGGACTGAAGTTGTTTATCAGATATATGAAAATAAGCAAA